AATAATAAAAGCATCTGAACGTGTAGTTCATGAGGCAGGTTTGTGAGCTGACAGCATTCAAAATCCAGTTTGACTTTTGAATGCTGCACTGAGGGCCCAGTAGGTCACATTTTACAAAAGCTTGTGTTATAGTAGGTATTAGAAAAAATATTTTCCTAAGAGTAAACATTGAAGCAGTTTGTCCCAAGAGGTTGTGGCATCTCCCTCATAGGAAATTTTCAGAACTTGACTGGACAAAACTCTGGCTGATCAGATACAAGTTGACTCTGCTGTGAGCAGAACAATGTACAATCAGAGGTCCCTTCCAACTTCAAGTGTTCCCTAATGCTTGGTGTCTGGCACAGGGACATAAGTGTTAGGTTTTGAAGCCTCCTGTGTTGTAGTCTTCTGCTGTTATTACAACCGTCTAAGGGTTGTTTTGGCTTGCTTCCATCAGCAATCTTCTTGGAGAATTTTTAAAATCAAGTCTATTTTCTTGAGGACAGTTGAGAGGTGGCTACTCAGAGTGTCTTTCAGGTCATTTTAGGTCATCAGAATGCTCCAAGGCAGTGCTAGTGAGGCATGGTTCTGACTTAGTAAGGGATCCTCTAGTGTTCTTGAGAGGCAACAATAGTTGTAATTTTTTTTTAGAAAAATCTACTATTTTTACAGTTTTGGAAAGGGTAATGCATAGTATCACAGTGTACAAGTAGGACAGTTCTTGTAAATGCCTCAGTGAAAGAAGTAGCACTGGACACTAGTGTTTATTTTAGCTGAGATTAATTCTGTTGCTGAGATTAATTTTCTTACTGAGAAAAGGAATTTCAACAATAAAACATTTGGGGATATTGATAGATTTGTAAAAATGTGAAATCCTATATATCCCTAAAGTGAAAAATATATAAATACAAATATTCTAGATTATAAAATTTTCTACTACATGTGTAAGGGAAGTCTTCCTTTGGTAAGTGTGGAAAAAGGAGTGTTTCTCTCTGCACGTCAGCTCAGATGCCATTTCAGCTTTCATACAGGGCTATTGCAGAGATTCTTTGCTAATCTTTGAACTAGAAAAAAAGCAGCTACAACATCATCTTTATGCAAGGGTGCTAATTTCAGTTATGCCTGGTTTTGTTTAGAGGTACTTACTGTTATGATTTTTCCTCTTAAAACCTCTAGAAGGTAGTTGAAATATATAAATTAAAATCTTTTATTCAAAATAGAGTATTATGAAGAGCGGTATTATTTCCGAGATGTTACAGCTCAGGAAACAGGAAATAAAAGATTCTGGAGGACTTTAATATGGAAATACTAAGTCTTAAAGTCCAACATTTAGTATGAAAATTGTAGTAATTTCAATATTTGGTTATCTTTTGAATGCTTATATAGTTTCTGTGTCTCGTTACCTTTACTACGATTCCTTTATCAGTAATAATTTATTTTCAGACTAATTTTCTCCTTTAATGTCTTATATGCTGTAAATTATATCAGCCCATGCTATTTAGCTACTCAGCGGTTTTGAAATTCACTTCAAACAGGGAGGTTTGATTGCAGTACTTTCCAAGAACACTTTATTTTCAATCACTTCTACTAAGTAGAGATTCGGCTTCAAAGAGTTTACTGTATATTGTGACACAGAGGTTCTTTGAAGGTTAATCAGTTTTTTAGCAATAATAGGGTTGGATTCTTGCGCGACTAAGTGAGTCACTTCTGTTTCATGTGCAGATCTATCATTTAATCAGAAGCCTGGAAGTTAAGACTTACTACACTGCATATTAAGTAGAAAAGACAGTTGTTGTTTTAATCATTTTTTTCTTTCTGAACTTCACTATATCTTTAGGGCTGTAAATTAGTTGAGACAGCTAGACTGATTATTTAAGAACCATTCCTAATGTGCGTAAAATCTAATAAAAGGAGCAGTCCAGTGAAGTCATATTATTTGGACACCAAAGCTAGAAACTAATTTGAAGAAATATCTTTATATATACAAAATAAAATCCACTGAATGTGGTCATGTTCCTGATTTACATTTAGGGCATGATTTAATCCAATTGCAGTTTAACTGGGGGCAGTTAATGTTTTCTTAAAGGCAGGTGCAGAAACACACAGATCTTTCTTAACCTATTTGTAGCCCAAACCAAATATTTGGGAAATGGTCAGGATAGACTTTTTTTTTAAGAATGTCTATGACTATCAGCGTTATCAGTGAAACTTTCATTTTTGCAGCTGCTACAAAAATATGATAGTTTAAGAGAAAATGTTCTCAAAAAAGTTTCGCATAGAAAATTATCTGAGTTTCTCAATCCACTTGAACCTTGATCTGTTTTGGTGTAATATTCTGGAATTGGTAAAGATGCTTTATGTCTGGAGTTTGTAACACCAAATGAGATTACACCACCTTCTTCTGATTCAGAATTTCTTGCTGTTGCAATATGTGTTGTTCCACAGAAACAAGGAATAATTCCCTCTCAGACACTGATGTTGAGACTGCTGCCAGGGAACAGTGTTACTGAGGTGTTCTTTCACTGCTAAAGATAAGGAGTCACTTCTGTTGTAAACTTGGTTCTCTCTCAATGAGTTTACAAGCTCGTTCTAAATAATTCACTTCATCTTGAAACTCTGTTTCCCAGGAGACAGAATAGTTATCTTCTTAAAACCAACTTTTGCTTTAAGAACAAACAAACCACATGTTGATTTTGAAGTTGCGAAATAGACGTCCTTTATACCACAGACAATTGGGCTTTCACTCAGAGCCTTTTCTGTTCTTTTAAAAAAATTATTATTATTTGCAAATTCCTTATTGAGTGGACTGTATTGAGTCTGCATCAATGGTGGTGTTTGAGCTCTCTCCTCCATAGGCTGGTTGCAGTGGGGCTGCACATGCATGAATGAACACAAAGCAGAGTTCATTCATGTGTCGCCTTCACCACCTGCAAGTGCACGTGTGTGTGTGTGTGCACGCTTAGTCGTCCCTTATAAGAAAACAGAAGAGCAAGGAGTACCACAGTGAGCACTTCTCTGCTCTCATTACAGAAAGGTTTGTACCTCCAAAGCTGGCATGGCTTTTCTCAGATGATCTGGTTTCAAGCTATGTCGCTATTGTAGTAGAGGGCTGCTGCAGATTAAGTACTTCTACCGCAGGGCAATGTCCCTGGAAAACATGCTGTTTGCAATCTTTCATGCTGGGCCTGAGAGGATCATGACGTTAAATCGCAGGAATATCACTGTGTAATTCTGAGGCTTTTGCAGAGGGACTTATCCAAATTTAAGCACTTTTGAAGGAGGGGAGGTTTTGGAATAAAGCTTGCAGCATGTCTATCTACTACCAAGAAAATCAGTCTGTGCTGGAAAAAAATGTTGAGTTAAGGCTGGATAAGCAGAAAAGAAAGTTGAGACATCTGAGAAGAAAAGAGTAAGCTGCTCTAAAGATTTTGATGACAAGCTTTTCGTGCTTCTAAGGCATTACTCTTTCTGGTTTTTTATAAAACAGACATTTATAAGCATCTCACAGTGTATCTTCTAAATCTAAAGGGGTTTGGTGCATTCTGATTGGACTCATGGCAGTACAGCAGATATGACTAGTACTTTCTTATGGCCCTTGTTTAATACTAAGGGTATTTTAGTTATGTTACCTGATTTCACAGGCTGTTCTGAGTTGGAAGTGACCCACAAGTATCATTGAGTACAACTCTTAACTGAATAGCCCATAAATGGATTAAACTCTGTTTGCATTAGTGCCTACACTAGTTGACGTTATTAGTACCAGGCTCTAACCAACTGAGCTAATCTCAGGGTCATTTTGTACTTAGATGAAAAACCACTGTTGTTTGATGAGCACTTGATACTTTTTGTCTTACCATGATCTGTTAGTCCATTGTTTTTCATAGCAAGTGAAAACACACTAAGATTTCTCTCTTGTGAAGAGGAAAATAGAGATCTTAACCTTTGGACCGCAAGTTAGTTCTTGTTTGACATCAACCAACCAAAGAGTAGGAAGCATCCCTTCATGTATGGCTAGTTCTGGGCAGGACACAGGTGGATGCTCCAGGGTCTCCTTCAGTTTTTCCTTAGTGCTGAGCTGTCATAGGTTGAGCACTTCCACCCTATCCCAAGGGTAGTTTTTACTGGTATCAGTTCTTCAAAGACTATTGGGGCTTTACAGTGGCTCCTGCTCTTGTTTTTGTGCTATTGCATCATTTTACCACACTGCCTGCTCAGCTCAGAGTTTTTGTCTCTCCTTGACCTCTCCACTGCAATCATAGATCCATTGGCCCTTCAGCTTCAGGTCTAGGCAGGGAACTGTCTCACTTCTGGTATTGCTGTGATGCTGCTTGTCAACATTTGAAAAGTTCAGATCTGAAAGTGGGTGTTCCTGGAGATGTGTATACTACTATTCTCTACTCTAGCCTTTTTTGCAGAAAATCCATCTTAGACTTGCTATTATGTTTTAAATAACCATTTAAAATATCCTTGTGACTAATGGAACTATAAAATACCTCGTTGTAGTACATAGGGGATCCAGTAATAAATTAGAGGTCCTCTGTGACAAAAAGCATAGATAAGACAGCATAATAAAACAAAAACCTCTGGGAATGCTTCAGTCTAAGTTCATATTTCTTCCTTATGCACCCAAAAATAAGGTTAATCAAACTTCATGCCTAAGGGCTTAAACAGATGGAATATGAAAGACATTTTCACCATTCGGCAGTGTAGTAATCCTGCATCTCTGGAAAGTATGCACTTTCTTAATGTACAAACCAAAATGTTTCATTTGAATATTTCTCACAGTGTATCCAGTTTGGATTAGGCAGTGGTTTGAAGCAGTAGGATGCAGTTGGTCATCCCAGATTTATACTCAGAAACCAGAGAACAATATTTTAGTTTTATTTAAATTTTTTTTTTCCTCCCATTCTAAACTAATAAGCCAACTTTATGACAAAATCATTAAAATGCTTAAAGGCTAAACAAACTTTTCTGATTCTGTGTTTTAATGTAGATATGTTTTCTCATGACTCCTTTTCTAGATTGTATTGGTCAGTGGACATCTGGACAGCTGGGACGTTGGGCAGGGAGCTATGGATGACGGTGGTGGAGCATTTATATCATGGGAAGCATTATCACTCATTAAGGATCTGGGTAAATATTATATTTTAAGATATTTTCAGTGCGTTATATTTCCAGGATGTTTTGTATGATGTCTAAACTGGATTTTCTGTATTATCCATCTCTCTGAGCACAAATACTCATACTTCTCAGGTTTTTCTGCTAAATTCCTCCTTTCATCACAGGGGTCTTTCAAAAGCAACACATCAGTCAATGATCTAGAAAGTGCTTTGAGCCTGCATGTTCATGATCATCATAGAATGAAAGTTCAGTGTAAGATATCATATCTAGGTAGCTTAGAAGGAAGTAATTCCTTTTCATTTTGTCTTAATAGGTTTCACTCTGTTAATGAAGATGAAGATTTATGAAGTCACAGACAGGCTTGTGGTATTTTCTCTGCCCTTTAAGCAAACTATTAATTCAACATGTTCTTAAATCTTTCAATGTTCTACATGTTGCTTTTTACAGTGGCTACTTCTCAACACCTTACCTCACCCTTGATGACTTCTCAAGACAATTTCCTCTCTCAAGAGCTTGTAACTAGGACTGGATCTAGGCAATGATCCTGCCTCTAGTCTTTTCCCTTTCATCTACATATAAAGATATTCATATAAAGATATTATAAACTTCACAGAATTTCATATTTTCAATGTATATATTTCTGTGGGGTTGTTTTTTTTCCTAGAATGTTCTTCCTAAATAAATTTATATCCTGCTCGACTTATTTCACCAAATAGTGATACATGCATACCATCCATGCATTTGTGCATTCCCAGTTTTGCACTGGAGGGTTGATTTCCTGATTATGTTGCCTTTATGTTGCTGTGGTCTTGGGATCTGCTTTGGACTGTGATACCTCATTTCCTTGGCAAATATAATCCGGGTCAGCGGAAGCACACACTTCAGTCTTATCACTACAAGGATACACTTCTGTCAAGTCTGGCTTAGCCACAGTGACCTGTCAAATATTGTGGGCTCATGTGTCTCACCAAGCAACATTTGACACTGAGGCCTTGTACACAGTAGTATACTGCAAGAATAGGTTTGTGGGAAGCAAAGCCATGCTCTGCTCCCAGGGATCAGTTCTTTGAATCATTCTAGCCAAGAGACAAGGTGACTGGGTTCTGGAATTTGGCCTGTTGATCAACTGGACTCTTCTGCAACTGATATTGTAGCAAACAGTTTGTCATCTCTGAGCTTGCTGGTCTTGGTCCTCCAGAATTTCTGCTCGGCAGAAGTAGGAGTGGAACTAAACCCTCCTTCTGTCAGTGCTAAATGTGGATAAGGAGAGAAAGAGGAAAAGGCAGCCTGTATCCTGGATATTTCTGTTTCAGTAATGCTATGGATAGAATACCAGTGTGGACTTACTCAGCCTACCTCCTCTTAGTTTGCATAGCCTCCCTTGTGTGAGATCTGAAAGGCCAATGTTTTCTACTCGTGGGCTTCATCTGACTTGGGGATAGAAGTGGGCTGCAGACAGTGTGTTATTGTGGAAGAACTTGGTCTACATATTCCTACCTAGGATGTGTTTGATGGGAGAGATTGTCCATAAAGTAAGATGATATACGGCCAGTGTATGTGCAAGAGGGAGCTATGATTGAACAGCCTGTGTTCTTCAGACTCCCAGACTCTCAAAGTTGGGTCTGCTGTCATCTGTTCCCAGTCTACTGTGACCTAGTGTGATTTCTAGTCTCCAGCCTGCGAATTCCAGTCTTACTGCTTGATCCGTAGTTTTCTGCTGTTTTTACTTCCATATGGGCTTCCCCTCAAAACTAGTTCAAAACAGACTTTTTAGGTTGTCCAACTGATATCCAAGGTTGTTTTTTCCCCTTCATCAGATGGAATCTATTTTTTCTCCTTATTCTCTTTTTCCAGAACTGTAACCTGTGGTCAAGAGGAATGCACCACATATTCATTAGAAACTAAAATCATCTGCTGCTCTGCTCTTAACTCTGGCAGCCTTTAAATAATAAACTAGCTTTCTCTACTTCCCAACACAAGGATTTCTTCACTTGAACAGTCTCAGTCTTTCAGGAAGAGCTCTTTGTAGAGAAGCTCTGTTATGTGATTAGCCACTCACATACTGCAGTGGTGAACATCAGACATCCCTGTGAGTTCCTTTATTTTGCATTGTTTGAACCTTTAATCTCTCATTTTCCAGCCTTGGAATGATTGGAATATCAGTCTGTAATTCAAAACAAAGCGCATTTAAATTTTTATTCTTTTAAAAGTAAACTAAATAGGATTCTTCAACAGAAGAATCCAGGTCTATGCCTTCTTTTAGTGTTTTTTAATCCTTTTTTTATGATACTTGGAAAATTGTCTGTTTCCTCCACCTTCAAGAAAAAGAACTTACACTACTGTGTTTGCCACTCTATTCCATTCAGAATAAACTGTTCTGTGTCTCTTAAGGGCAAGTTCATGGTGGCATTGTGTAATTCTTATTCACTGGGTTTCCCTTCATGCATGACTGAAATTCATCACTTTCTTCTTGTGCAAATATTTGATTTCCTCTGATAGTAGCCTGTGTGTTTGCTGTGTGTCCTGGGGTGAAATGCCATTCTCTCAGCTGGGAAATGCCAGAGCCTTTGCTGATGCCATCTTTTGTGGGCAGCTGTTGTGTCCAGCTCTTCTTGTACCTGTGTTCTTCAGGAACAGAAGGCTGGGAGAGGACTTCTGGGTCGTCACATCTAACCTGTAAATGACCAAAGGGCCTTTCGTAAACTGCCCTCTGTAGCAGATTGGTTAATGCAGATATCTTACTCTGCACATTAAATATGACAAAAAAAGGACAGCAAAATAACAAGGTGTACAGATTGTGTGAGAAGCAAATTAACGAGTTTTATTTAAAATCAATTCCATAGATGGTGTTTTGAGTGAGCATTGTGTTTTGAATTGTGGAAGCTTTGTTTAACATTGTTTTGAACTCAGATAAATTTAATCTTAGACTTGTCCACCAAATACATTTGAAATGAGGATGAGCCAACTCAATTGGCTCTATGCATGTGTAGAAAATTTTTACTGCATACTGGGAGTCTTAAAGCCGTGGTGCATTGTGTAGCCATGAAAACTGTGCCTGCATTTACCAGAGTATAACTGATCTTACAACTGTGGTGATGTGATCCTCAAGATGAAGTGAGCATTCTGAAATATGAATTCTAGAGTATAAAGTTTGTATTGTGCAGTGAGAAATACTACCAGTACTTCTGCCATGGACCACTGGTTTAGTGAAAGCAAGATACTAGTACACTATTGAAGCAGTTTTTTTCAGTGATGATATAATAGCACTTCATCATGATATCAGTGTGACCCCTTGGACATGGCTGGTAGACTCAAATTATGCCTGTTAATTGGGATTTTGATAATTCTCCATAATATTTGAAGAATGATTATAGTTTAAATTCAATTCATACTTTCAACATAACCTTCTCCCAAAACTACTTAATAGCTATTGGCTTAGGACCAAATAAATGAAATTATTAAAAAATTATTAAAATTATCATTTAAAATGGTCAGATTTTATTTTAAGCAGTACAGTTTGTTTTCTTGCCTCAAGTAAATTTTTAATAGTTTTTGCTTTTATTTCTCAGTGCTCCTCTCCCAACAGTTCAAGCCTGTGGCAAGTTCTTGTCTTGTTTGGGACTAATACTTGTGTACATTGAATTTGAGCAAGAAGCAGCTAGTATATATTTAGTAGTTTCAGAGCCTTAGCCAGTGCTGCCTCTTTGCTCCTAATCCAGATGAGTTCCTGCGTTGCTTGGCTGAGGGACATTTCCCAGCTGAGGCCACAGGTGTTCTGACTTCCTTCAGCCCTGGGGAGCACTGTGCCAAAGTCACCTCACACTCCAGTGCTGGGAATGTGAGACTTCCATCCCTAAAGGGAGATTGAGGGAACTGAATAACAACAGTGATAGAGAAAGGTCTTTAGAAGGTGGTCATATGGCAGTGTTTGCTTTTCAAACATAGTATTTTGAGTCTCCTAACAGCAGTAGAGATCCCACTGGAGTTAGAGATGCAGTCGATTTTGATGAATGAATTTCACTGCTTCCTTCTGAAAAACTTCAGAAGTGGTAACTGTTGTGTCTCTTTTTAATTAAAACAGCTGGAGTCAATTTTTTTTCCCTGTTTCGAAGAGAAGCCTGATAGGGTCTTCTACTTGACACTACAATCTAGTTTATTTTTAAAGTCTCATCTCTGCTGGCACAGGAGGAATTAAATAGTCAACAGGTTCTTTGTTCACATCACAGGTTTCTTTCAGCATTTACCCACAAGCTCTCTCTCCTTGTTCAGAAATGTGTTTTTTACCTTTCCCTGGCTGTGTTTGGGTCTCGCCTGCTTCATCATGGGTTAGGAACTGGCTGGAGGGCCGGGCTCAGAGAGTGGTGGTGAACGGTGCTGCATCCAGTTGGTGACCGGTCACTGGTGGTGTCCCCCAGGGATCAGTGTTGGGCCCAGTTCTGTTTAATATCTTTATTGATGATTTAGATGAGGGGATTGAGTCCACCATCAGCAAATCTGCAGATGACACTAAGTTGTGGGGGAGTGTCAATCAGCTGGAAGGCAGGAGGGCTCTGCAGAGGGACCTGGACAGACTGGAGAGTTGGGCTGATTCCAACGGGATGAGGTTCAACAAGGCCAGGTGGCGGGTCCTCCATTTTGGCCACAACAACCCCACGCAGAGCTACAGACTGGGCACAGAGTTGCTGGAGAGCAGCCAGGCAGAGAGGGACCTGGGAGTTTGGATTGACAGGAAGCTGAACATGAGCCAGCAGTGTGCCCAGGTGGCCGAAAAGGCCAATGGCATCCTGGCCTGTATCAGGAACAGTGTGGCCAACAGGTCCAGGGAAGTGATTCTTCCCCTGTACTCAGTGCTGGTGAGGCCACACCTGGAGTACTGTGTCCAGTTCTGGGCCCCTTAGTTCGGAAGGATATTGAGGTGCTGGAGCAGGTCCAGAGGAGAGCAACGAGGCTGGTGAAGGGACTCGAGCGCAAGTCCTATGAGGAGAGGCTGAGGGAGCTGGGGTTGTTCAGCC